ATCTCCTTCTTGATTTCTCCTTCGAAATCCCTCAATACCGTCTTCTGATTGATAGCCTCCATTATTTTTTTGTCCTCTGTTCACCTCAACTGTTAATCCACCTGGTGGGTCCGGGGTGTCAGGTCGTCTGTAGTGCTGGTAGCTGTGGTCTCTACCATCCCATATGCATCTCAATAAAAAAATGTCGAAAACCATTAACCTTTCGGCATCGTTACCTGGTCGTAGGGTCCTTGTGCAACCCATGATATAAAAGCCGAGTGATTACTCGGCAAGCTATACAAAAAACAACGGCAACTCTGGGTTTGTGCATTGCATTCCTTCTTGATCCGGTCCTGGTACCGTATGGCCTGGATATGTGTCGGTGAGAAGGTTGGATTAATGTAGCTCGAGGATACCCCGCTTGGTTGCGGGTCTGCTGTCTTGCCTTGCCCCCTTCCATCACACTCGACCTTGTTCCTAGCGGTCCTTGATACTCCTGTCTCAACCTCGATGTTGTTTGTTGGTTGTCTTGTGATTGCTCTTGAGTTGTATTGTCTTGCTGCCTTCGCTGATTTCTTCGACATTTATCTTTTGTGTGACAAAAGGTCGTGCAGTGTTTACGTCGCGGGGTCTCTGAAGACACCAAGTTACATTCAGCGTATCACCTTCGAACCTTCGAATGTAACCACAAAGATCTTATCCTTTGTGTTCGTTCGTGCTTCCGGACCTGAATCAAACTTGAAGTTGATTAATGAAGGTTTGAGACAATCTGGTTTCATTGGGTGTACAAGCAGGACTGGCCCAATTGCTTTCTGAATTTGGGCTTCTAGATAAAACATAGCATCTAAGGGAACTTGAACAACTACTATCTAGAAGGTCGACCTTGCCTCTCTTCTGCGCTGCTTCGCTAAGTTGGACTCTTATTGGCCAAGGCTTGAAGTCTAGCACTTAGCGTGTGGCACCTAGCATGATCTCGCAATTCCCTTTGTTAATAAGCCAGGTGGCCACTGCTGTGTTCTTTGCTATATAAGATACCACATTCGGGCTCTCTACCTTCACGCTTCCCCGTCTGACTCATACGTTCTAACCATGTCATCCTTCAGTTTTTTTGGTAGAAACCTTGACCCTTCGTGAAAGATTACCGTGACCATGTGCTCCTTTAACCATGCCACCTTCGTCCTGTCTATCCGCTCGTCAACTTTAAACGTCACTTCGGATCTACTGACGAACTCATGATGCCTTCGTTGTAGCAGAGTCTCGCCAGCTCCCTTATCCTAGCATTACCCTTGTCTAATGGTTGCTATGCGCCTGGAGGTGGGGAGCGTCTCCCCTCTGCTATAGGTACTTCCATCATGGAATATTTGGCCACTGTCTTGTTGCCTTCTTCCTCCGCACCGATGTTGGTGTCAACCCTAAATCTCTATGTGTTTCATCCACTTTCCTCCATCTCACTTCACTACTCTCGTCTTCCTTTTGCATCCCCTCCACTTCGAAGTCCGATATTGGGTGTTTGCAACTCCGTCCTCCATAGCCGAAGCAATGGTCTCCGTTAATGTGGATGGTGAACGTAGCTCCAGCCGTGGTTCTATCACGTTGGTAGTCCCTCCGGCTAGACACGCTTGCCGTTACCGGTTGGCTAGCGCTTGATCCGATTGCTAATTTTGGGTCGGCGGTACCGTGTCGGTCGGACCAAACGAGCATTTTCTTGAAAGATTTTTCCGCCCAACTCAAATTTCGAGGGTTTTTTTTTTATATAAGGAAAAAGTCACTTTATATTGCTTAAATAAAGGGTCAGGATCCCACAATTCAACCCGAAAAACAGATATGACGACTTCAGTCATTATTGCTCGTACTTAAGAGGAGGGGGCTTAAACTAGGAATATTACCGGTCCCACACAGACCTATGTCTTGTTGGTCTCACTCTGAGAGGGGGAAAAAAAAAAAGGTGCCTTCACGGTCTACAACGTCGCATAAACCAGAAAGGAAATAATAAAAGTTTCACTTTACTCTCTCATAACTTATGTTGTCTACCCATCCTAACTACAACGAATAAAGTTTATAGATCCTCTATCTCTTACCACTACCGATTTCCCTAAAACGGTGGAATTTAACTATGACACTCCCTCCTCATTCATCCTCCCTCTGCCCGTCTCTTGCGACCCAACAAAATCCCCGTATCCGAGTGTCCAAGATATGCTCTCCCTATTCATTAATCCCTCGAAAACCACTGGCCTAACTCTAACCTATCGCCTACACTCAAGCACCATGTCTCTCAAAATCATTTCAGGCCTGACACTCTGTTCCTGGATTTACAGACCTTTCTCCACCAATCCACCATGATTGCCCTTTCGCAACAATTGTGTGAAGGTACTCTTGATTTGTTTATTTGTCCACTCCTTGCCCTTGAAGACCCTGTCATTCCTTCCTTGTCAGATAATAGTGAACCCAACAACCCTTGCAACTTGTGCGATGTATCCCCATCCGTTTTGTACGCCGTGTCCCTCATGCACTCCTTCAAGCAGGTACCATTCCTTCATCCTTGCGAACATTTTATTGGAGAAGCTCTCCCAAAATTTGGTCCACCAGGACCAAATTCTGCGAGAGGTTGGGCAGTCCCACCACAGATGGACTGTGGATTCAAATGCCTATTCACACCGTACACACTCCATTTCCAGTTTCATTTCATGCTCAGCGAGCCATACTGCAGATGGGGTCATCATTATTGATGCTAGCCGTAATGTAGACGCTTGTTGTTGGCAGGGGATTCTTTTCAACTGTTCCCAACACTTTTTGAGAGAGTTGTCAATCTGTGCCGGGTCCAGGGGCAGTACCTGTACCCACCTAGACCTTGCCATTATCTCCGGGTGTTTAGTTGGGATGAGGCTTTTGTAGCCAATTCTCTGAGTGTAGTTAAGTAAGTAGACATTTTCACCAGTCCTCCCAGTGATCGTCATTCCCACATTTTTAGGTCCAATTTAAATTTTGAAACTGGCTTGCCGTTCGCCACCAACGCCATCGTCGGCGCTGCATCTTCCTGGTCTTTGGCTATCGCTCGTACCTGAGACAACACAACTTCTAGTCTAGGCTTGGAGTCCGAGTCTTTTGGTACCAGTCGTCCCAAGTTCGTGTCGCCCATTTCTGGAAGATTCTTCTCCCGTCTGTTTGTATCAATATGAGTTCCCAGAGACTGCAACCTTTGTCCTCTTGTTGAGTATACCATGTGCTTGGCGGATCTACTGCCTCTGGAAACAGGATTGCCTTCCATTCTCTCGGGATGACTTCTATTACAGTAGTTAGTCTTTCCTGAGTCTCTCGTACCTGTCCCAGTTTCTCTTTCACCTTTTCAGTTGAAACCCAATCTTCTGCAAACCCATCCCAGATGTCTCTCACCCTGAGTACCCCCTTCTCTATCCATGACCTGCCAAAACTCTGCGCTTGTGTGTCCGCCTTCAACCAGGATCCGTTCGGTGCCCTTATCCTTGGGAAGATAGGTTGAGATAGGACTTCCACTAGTGGGTGGAGTCCAGACCTTGCGACACAGTTTCTTCGACGCATGAACAATCGCTGCCCACAATGGGGACTTCACCATTCTGCGTTGATAGGAGTACAAGAGCACGCATGTCTATATGTCTTCTACTCTTGGCATGTTCCATTCGTTGGTCAGTGTTCTTTCTGCTAGATGTACCCAGTCAGGGACTGGGTCTTCCAGGCAGGCCCGCACTATCCCCTTTCTCTCTAGGTATGCATAACATCTCTCATACAACTTTTGAGATGAAGGTTTCCTGGTCGCCTGCGAAGGTCGGACACACGACAGTCGTTGGGAGCCATCGGAAGGCCACCAAGATTACAAGGGCCCTCTCGGACCAAGGCCAAGCACAACAGGAGGTGGACAAGGAGGAACTCCCAGACCTCACCCGAGTGAGATGGGCGTATGGGCAATATATGTCGCCAGAAGGCATATGTTTATACCCAAGCACCTTCGGAGACGCACACGGAACAACGTGCGGAGGAGCAACATGGGGTATCTCATACCAACACCAAGGAAGGGCGGTCACACAAACCCCGTCAAGCAGAGGAGCGGTAACATAGAACGGGGGATCAGGCGATAACAAAGGAGGACGAGTATTAGACGAACTGGAGAGGCTACGAAGCAGAACCGTAGAAGGAGCCCGGCAAAAGGACGGGAATCGAGAACGGACAATCCAAAGGCAAGACTCGCTTATGGCAAAAGCTCAAGGTGTGGAAGGAGGAGCAACACCGACGAAAGAAAGAGGTGATCACACACCAGGGAAGCAAAGAAGACTGGGCAGGGAAGGGAGCGCGTCTTCGAATTAGGGATTGTTGGAGGAACGTTTCGGCTCATTGTTATCGAACACTTCTCAGAGCCAAGTGCGCGAGATTGGGATTTCGGGATCTGAAGTTGGGTTTCGTGAGTAGCGGAGCGAGACCCGACTCACCAAAATGTGTGAGTCGTGAGTAGTGGAACGAGGCCCGACTCACCAAAAGGGACTCGTTCCACAGCACTCAAAACTCGAGGGTTTCTTGCTCAACAACGTTCCACGGTGCCCTCAAGTTTCGCCAATCACTGGCGGGGCCTCATTAGGTTTTCGGGATGATCAAACGTGCGGGAAACTCTCAAGGGCGGCTCAAGTGCAGCCCAGGCAAACGAGCTGATTTTTCAGGTGACCTCTCATTCCACACTTGAGCTGCCCTTGAGAAGTGTGCACGCGAGCTGGGCAAGGTACGTGGGGCAAGGTACGTGTAGAACCCCCATGGTTGAACCTCTCGCGAGCTGTTCCCGCTCATTTCAAGGGCGGACTCGAGGGTTGAGTGGAACGTAACGTGACTCAGGTATTTTTCAATCACTTTTGCAACTCGAGTGCGCACTCGAGTTTCAAGTGAAGTGGTGTGGGACGAGGCCCAAATTCGTGAGTCGTGAGTAGTCGAGCGAGACCCGATTTTTGTAGTGCGAATTTAGTGCCGCCCTTGAGTTTCCAGTGTAGTGTAGTGGCCTCTTACGAGACCCTTTACCATACCGACCTCTCCCGCCCGTTTCACTGTTCGATTTTTTCAAATTTTCGATTCTTTCCATCATTGCGCCTTTGGTTTTGTTCTGTGTTCCGTTCTCTATTCCTTCTCTACAACGCACGCTTGTGTTGCTGTCGGCTATGGCGGCAGCGACGCCGGGCGCTGACGCTGTCGAGAAAGATGGCTCACATCGAACGGCCGGCGTTATCCGCCCGATCGATCGAGCGGCGATCCACAGGATCTGCTCAGGACAGGTGGTCCTTGACCTGGCCACAGCGGCCAAAGAGCTGGTCGAGAACAGTCTCGATGCCGGGGCTACCAACCTGGAGCTTCGACTCAAGGAGTACGGAGCTGACATGGTCGAGGTTGCAGATAATGGCTGTGGAGTGGCGCCCGAAAATTATCAGGTTCGTTCCTTGTGTTTGTGTCAATGGGGGATGGGATGTACCTTCTTGCCGATGGACTTGACACTGCCAGGGATTACCACACGGTTCCAACCTCTCATTTCCTCCTTGCGTCAGCGTCGGCGCCGACGGCGTTGTTCAAGTGATCGAAGGCATGTTTTTCAAGAAGGAAGTTATGGGTTCGAGTCCGATCGTCTCTAAACAAAGTTCCCCCTTGAGCCCAGGAACCAGGAATTAGCACAGCCAGCAATTTCCACAGAAAAGAAGATGAACGACAAGCAATGGGCCAATTGCTTCTGCACACGCTCAACAGAAAACCTGTCTGACTACCAATGGGTCGATTTCTCCCAATGAACACCCATCTGTTTTTGTCGTCCTCAGTTCCACATGAAACAAAAAGTACTGTCTTCCGTCCCGACGACATACCGGGTCGATTCCTCCCAATGAACACCGAGAACGGCCAACGGAGAGAGGAGGAGAGGTGAGGAGAGAGGAGGAGGAGGAGGAGGAGAATGGCGAGAATGAGGAGAGTGGAGAGGAGGTATGGACTGATACCGAAGGGTCTCGAGGTAGGGACCATGGAAAAAGCTTCGGAACAGCCGCCGCAGACATGACTTGTAGAACCATGGAAGCTTGATTAGGAAAGACAGCAGCAGCAGCAGGAGGAGGGGGGGGAGGGGGAGGGGGAGGAGGAGGAGGAGGAGGAGGAGGAGGAGAACCATGGTGATATAACATGACGAAGAACCAACATCAGCAAGATTAGGAAAACAGCAGCAGCAGCAGGAGGAGGAGGAGGAGGAGGAGGAGAGGAAGGAGGAGGAGGAGGAGGAGNAGGAGGAGGAGCAGCAGGAGGAGGAGGAGGAGGAGGAGGAGGAGGAGGAGAGGAAGGTTATTCTGCAGATAATCAAACGAGAAGAAGAGCAAGGAAAAAAAGAAAGGAAAGGCGAATGGTGAATGAGAGAGGGGAAGAGGAGTAGTACGAGAGGGAAGAGAAAGGGGGTTCCTCGCGAGGGCGGAAGCACGAAAAGCCTACGGTCTTCAGCCGAATAGAACGCCCGGTCATTTTAGCTGTACTTTGTGCAACTTCCAGTCTAGAGACAGCGATACTGACCGTGCGTTCTATTCGGGTAAGAAGAGAACGCCCAGTCGTTTAAGCTGTAGTTGGTGCAACTTCCAGTCTAGATACAGCGATAATGATCGGGCGTTCTAGTCGGGTAAGAAGAGCAGGGGAGAAGGGCGAGTATAGGGGAGGGAGAGGAGAAGAGAGAGGGTGAAGTAGGAGAGGTAAGAGAAAGCAAGAGGAAAAGTTGGGGGGGAAGCGGGAGACAGGGGAAAGAGAGAGATACAGTAATTAGAGAGACATGGTAGCTGCAGATGCTGGTGTTGCTTGCTGCTGGTGCTAGTGTTAATAAAAGACAAGGTAGCTGAAGAAAGGATATCTGAGGGAAAGAGAGAGAAGTAGAGAGAGAAGTAGAGAGAGAAGTAGAGAGAGAGAAGTAGAGAGAGAGAAGTAGAGAGAGAGAGAAGTAGAGAGACAGAGCAGCTGAAGAAAGGAGAAGAAGAGCGAGAGGGGAAGAAGAGGAAGCAGGAGAGCAGGTGTCAGTTGAGTTGGTATAGTTTTGCTGTGAATGAGCGCGCGCGTGCCCGTTTTGTTCTCCGAAGAGGCCCTTGGTCGGTCACCCCCACACCTGTGGACAGACGACACGTGTTCCTCGACCGGAGACGTATTTTGTCCCGATCTCAGCTTATCCCATATGGACGTATTTTGTCCCATATTTTATCTTACGGGAAACTACGCGGGAGTCACAAACAGAGTTTGAAAATACACTTTGGGCACAAAAGAGTTTCAAATTGCGCTGCGGGCAATGTATACAAGCTAGCTTTCCGGTCAGGTAGGGTTGCGTGGGGGTGTGTTATGTTCGGGGAGGAATGCCTGAATTGTAATTTCAAACTGTTTTTGTGACTGTACATACTAAGTTACGCCTTTATTATCTGAAAGATTAGGAGAGACATACTTTACTAAGACAAGATCTCTCTCTATGGGACCAGACCACATCATGATACAATGAGATAACACCTAAGGAGTAAGTAAGATGAGCGGATAAGACGACGACGCAAAAAATAGCTGAGAGATTGGATTACATGAGAAAGACGACGCTTCGTGGACACGGAAAAGAGATCGCATCTTATCTAGTCTTTATATTTTATATGCGATCTATATGCGATCACTTTTCCGTGTCCACGAAGCGTCGTCTTTCTCATGTAATCCGATCTCTCAGCTAATTTTTGCGTCGTCGCCTTATCCGCTCATCTTACTTACTTCTTAGGTGTTATCTCATTGTATCATGATGTGGTCTGGTCACATAGAGAGAGATCTTGTCTTATTAAAGTATTTCTCTCCTAATGTTCACGATCTTGTCTTATGTTTATCCTTATCCATATCCTACCTGGGCGGACCGTCTCTCTTGCTCTCAAGAAACGCCGAGAAAATCGTCTTTATCATACAATTTGATGTCACCTTATAATAGTTTATATATACATCGTCAATATAGCTCATCTTTTACCATTAGATACGACAGAAGTTTATTTTTATCTTCTCTTGCCCGATATGAGGCGATTGCATGGCGAATCTTTCCTTTGTCTTATATTGCAGCATCTTATATTCCTCGTTTTCTCGTTTCAGCTTTGCCACGTGGCTGGTCTTATGGGCGTGAAGGCGGGGGTGGGATGGGGAGAGGGGGGGTGTGTGGTTAGGGGACGCAATGCTCGTTGCTTAGGAGGCTTTTCCACGCGGTCAGGCGTTCCACGTGGTGGAGCACGTGGTTGTCTAAGTTCCGGATCACGTGGTGGATCACTGTGGCGGCCCACGTGGTTCACGTGGTGGTCTATGTAGCGGTCCACGAAAGGTTCAAGTGCACCGCCACGTCGTGGATCGCTGCGGCAGTCCACGTGGTGGTTCAGGAAAACGTTAACGTGGCGATCGTGGTAGCGGTCCACGTGGTGGATTACTGTGGCGGTCCTCGTCGTCCGCCTGGTGGTCTATGAGCCGTCCACGGACCGCCACGTGGTGGTCCACGAAACGTTAACGTGGCGGTCTCGGTAGGGTTCCACGTTGTCTAGGTAGCGGTCCGCGTGGTCCACATAGTGGATCATTGTGGCGGTCCACGTGGTCCATGAAAGGTTTACGTGGCGGTCTAGTTAGCGGCAGACGTGGCGGATCACTTGGATGTCCACGTGGCGGATCACCTGGATGTCCACGTGGCGGATCGCTTGGATGTCGACGTTGTGGTCATATAATATTTGAGCAGCAGATCGTAGTGCTCCTAGGAAAGCATATTTGGAATTACAAGACCAACCTGCTGTTGTAATACCGTAGACACCTAAAGACGAAATAGAAAATAAGTTTAAATAACAAAGAAGAAAAATAGCAAAGGTGTAAGGTAATACGTAAGTATACATTTAAATCTGACAGTACCATACCATAACCCAAAAAAAAAGATTAAAAAAGTATTACTGCCCAAGCGACTAAACTTAACATAAATGCAATGACCGGAGCCACTATAAAAATGAATAAATTAGCACTACCACGTGGCGGTCCATTTGGCGTCCATGTAGCGGTTCATGGGCGATCCACATGGCGATCCACGTGGCGGGAGTTTGGAGAAAGAAAGAATGTAAACGACGAGTGGACGTGGAAGAATAGAGAAGGAAAAGAAAACCAAAAAAAAAAAACGAAAAAAAAGGAAAAGGAAAGAAAGAAAAGAGCAGAGAAAGTGCGATATGAGGATCGCGCCTTAGGGCCGAGCACCACTGGTGCTTTATGTATTCTTTTTGTGCTCAGAAAAGCATGAACCCGGCCGTAAAAGTGGCCACAGTTCGTGCATTTCGAGAAAAGTCGATACAGAAAAGAACGTCCCTGATCCATTTGCTCGCCTCCTTGGGCGAGGTCCCACTTGGACGGATTAAAAAATAAAACAATCTCAAGAGAATAAAAGAGAAAATCAACGAGTGAAAAAAAAGAAGAGGGGAAAAAAAAGGGAGGGAAAAAAAAATGTCCTGTCCATGGATAAGAGTGATCAACCCCCCCCGCGGTATCTCTCAATCCGTGCAAGGGGGAAGGGCTCTCGCCTTTCTTTTTTTCTTTTTTCTGTTTTTTTTTTGTTGATTATTATTATTTTAATTAAGCTCGAAGATGGCTCGCCTGGGTAGAGAGAGGAGTTTGGCAGATCAAACATCGGAGTTATTATTATTATTTTTTTTTTCTTGTTTATTATCATTATTTTGACCAGAGGAACTCTCGCCTGGGTGAATGGTTGTAGGCAGAACAAGAGCTCGGCATTCCTCTGAAGCGATGTCACTCTCTCGAATTTAACCTGCCAGCCTTGATACATCGGAGTACCCCACCACTGAAACGGTTTTCACCTTATTCAACCTGCCAGCCTTTGATACATCGGAGTACCCCACCACTGAAACGGTTTTCACCTTTTGCAGTAACAGACGCAGATCCCAGGGCTCGATCCCTAGACTTCACCCTACCCATGTGCAGTATCTGTGTAGTCCCGAGAGTTGAACCTGTGACCTCTGTATTCGTAGACAGTTGGCAGGTCTGTCATAGGTCCATAGGTAGCCGGGGGTTCGATCTGTAGATCTATAGAGTAGAAGTCTTAGCGAGTTCCAGAAGTCTAGCTGTAGTCCTTCCAGAAGGTCGGCAAGTGGGCAAGTGGTCAAGTGGCGAGTCAAGTGGTGGACTAAACTGCAGTGCAATTGCAGTCCGACCTCGGTAGGTTAGCAGTGAGTCCACAGTCAGTCAGCGGTAAGGTACAGTCAGTCCCAGTCCGGTCCAGCAAGTACCACGAGGGACTGTGAGCACCATGGGCCGATGGAAAGGGGCAGACCACCGAGTTTCAGAAGTATAAATCAAGAGGCAGCGCCCAGCCATTCATTCATTCCTGCGGGAGCCAAAGCGCTGCCACAGCGACTTGTGCAAGGAGGTCTGCAGAGAG